AATAAGAGATACATAATTTGTTTAAGTGTTTTGTACAATAAAGGATAAAGTGTTTGTAATGATTCTCATTTTCTATCAGTAGATTCCCCAGGGACTATTTAGCGAGACATACATTCCAAATAATGACAGCTGTGAGCAGCAGAATCTCAAGAGTGTTGAATACAGGCCTCACTATCAATATTCATGCTTTTACTAAAGACTGTTAACTTGTTTTCTTAGATTGCCATCTTGTGGTCAAAATATTTTACTGCAATGATGACCCAATTAAGTACAAATGTAGCCAATAAAAAAAGATATTCCTAAGGTTGGAGGTCGTACTTAGCTGTATGTATGATGTAACAGGAAATTTGCCATCATGTGACTACTTTTGTGTGTGCTAAAAAAAAGTTAAACATATGGTTCTGTCTTGTAAAAATGGGGAAATGAAAATCACTCTTTACAGTACTTTATACTAGTAAGGTTACACTTTAGTGGATTTTTAGGTTGCATACACAATTATCGGCAGGGAGCAAAAAAGATGGTAAAACGGTTCAGGTGATTGTGTTTGTTGTGTTTAACTAATGAACCAGTAGATGGCAGCAATTTGCCATCGGTGTATTACATTTGCTGAGAAACGGCAGAATAAAGTTTATTATTATTATTTTAGAAAAAATAAAATAAAGTCAGCCTTGAAGCGTATTAATAATAAAAGGTTATAATCAATTCAGTGGTCACTGAAAGAATGTGCTCCATTTGCTTAGCCCCAAATACATCATCCTTTTTAGATTAGTCCTCATAATAGGTCGGTCTACTTATAGTAATGAACAAGTTTCTTGAAGAAAGCAGCATCTATAAATTTTGTGTAATTTAATAAAAATCGGTTATAGAAACATGAATTAGAAAAAAAAACATCAACGTATTTTCGTGATTCATCCATAAATCATAATCTAACGCAGTAGTAACATTAGGGTCACCTAGTTATAGTCTTCAGCCTATGAAAGGCTGTCATCTAGTGGTGTTTCAGGAGAATGCAACCTTTAGACATGTTGACAAAGATGGTTATACAACCTAACACATGGGTCAGCATTTAGGTCACTGTCTTTCACCCATATTTTTTCTGAATACTTGTGTTCAGTGGACCTTAAATGATCAAAGTGAGCTCTCAACAGCACACTTCAAAAATCTACTAAGTCAGATTAGAGGCCTTGTGCTGTATCATCTGTATCTAAAAAACAGTTGTTATATTTATTTATGCAAATGCATATCTCATCATATTAAATTAACTTGTTATTGATACATAGCTATTGTTGAGACAATCGAGTTTCTAAAGGCCAGTGTCATAACTCCATCATGAGACCACCTTCACAGAGTGTAAAACAGGATGTTCTCCATGCAAATGTTTCCCGCTTCAATTTTGCATGCATTCTCACACTGGCTGTAAGCTGCCCTCAATCAATGCCCTGCATGACACAAAAGGTATGAAGTGTGGGGACAAGCTTACTGTCAAAACCCTCAATCTAGGAGATGCTTCAAATCATAAAGCGACTCCAGTTGGTACAAAAAGCAGCTTCTCCTATAGTATGCTTAAACGGTCCCTGAATTTATACATTCACACTAGCCTGTACTGAATACTACCAGAGGCGGACAAAGTACTCAACTCCATTACTTGAGTGAAAGTACAGATACCGCTGGTCAAATATTACTCCATTACAAGTAATAGTTGTAAAGACAGATTTTTACTTAAGTAAAAGTACAGAAGTACTTGCTTTTAAAAGTACTTAAGTACCAAAAGTAAATTTCCTTTTTTATGTCAATGCACTGTTTTATTGCTGTACGTAATACTTGCAATACTTCTGAAGCAACTTAGAATACATTACACCTACTGAATACACTGACTAGCATCTTTGGAATAAAGAGCTTTTAGAACGTTAAAAACCTATGGGGGGAAAAATTTACATGTATTTATTTATATTCATATAATTTATATTATATATATATTTAATATATAAACATAATATATATTTTTTAATATATATACATGTGTCTGTATTTATATATACATAATAACTATACACAGTACACACATATACTATGTAAACAAAATCTTTTATTTTGTATGCGATTAATTGTTGCCCAGCACTAGTATGTTCTTATCCAGTGCTTTCTTAACAAAGAGCAAAACATCAAAAATGCGCAAAAAACATAGGCAGGATTTAGCAGGTAGCTAAGGCCTCAAGAGTTTATGGGATCACTAATAAAATTAGTAGGAAGTCTTTCGCCAGTTGTGAAAACAGTGCTAACACAGTCAAAATAATATATCAGGGGCATTACAGAAACATTTTCAGTTAGGATGTCATTTAGAAAACTAGTCAGATCTT